CATCACAACACCTGACCTTTTACACAGGTTGTAACAAATAATGTTAAAAATGTTATTTCATCAAGGTGTTCCAGGGACACAACCCCTGTTACTTCAATTGGTGATGCTGAGATAGTTTTGATATATCTATTCAAACTCACCTCGTATTATTTATTTATTTAAACATACCTTCTATCATATTGCAGAAGTAATGAACTGATCTCACTTCCTTTTTAGGCATTAAATAGGACTCTGTCTTAATTGTTCAAAAGAAGAACCACTTTGTCACATTAATGTGGAATTCAAGGTTCTTCCTGTTTTCTCTTTCTGTCCATGCTCTGGTGTTTTTTTTCTCCTTATGAACGTCTAGTATAGAGAAAGCCTTTACAACAAAAAGCATCTTATTATAACTAGAAAACTGTTACCATAATGAGAAAGTACTGATGTTAGGATACAATGTTATTGTTACTGTTAAGTTATTTTAATCATTGTGTGGCAGCTGTTAGTTCATATGTAAATTGCACAAAATGTCATGAAAAGGTGATTTTAGTTGTGTTTAAAATCTCTACTTACAGAGCAGGATTATAGTATTCAGTTTGAATCCAATATAATTCTTCCAATTTACTCTTTCCCTCACTTGTCATTTCTGAAGGCTCGAGCCAATGGGCTTCAGTCCTGTGTGATCATCATTCGGGTGCTGAGGGATTTATGTCAGCGGGTGCCCACCTGGGGGAAGCTGCCCAGCTGGGTTAGTGCAACATTTGTCTGTTACATTTCATCTATTTAATTTTGTTATTTTTTTAACCTGTCTGTATTGTGTTCTGTTTATTGGGGTAAATAGTAAGAGAACAAAATTATGACATTAATAAGTCCAATGATGCAAATATAGCTCATGCTGTATCACCCTTCTAACAGCTTACAAAGACTACTTCACTTTTAATGCATCTATCCTTACATAAAATTCTATGTTACATAAAGAAAACTTCAATAATTTGTCTTTCAACAAGAGTCAAGACATGGAAAGGTCGAGGTGTTCTTTTTTTTTTTTCTATAAGCAAACCTGAATCATCTGTCTCTGTTTGTCTTCAGGCGATGGAGCTGCTGGTGGAGAAGGTGATCAGCAGTGCTTCAGGTCCATTGAGCCCGGGGGAGGCCATGCGCAGAGTCCTGGAGTGCATCTCCACAGGCATCTTGCTACCAGGTCAGACAAGTTTAATGAAACAAGGAAACAAAGATTGTTTCATATGTGTATCAGTACAATAAGGCAAACTGATTATACAGACATTAAAGCATTGAGATAATGCTGCAATAAACAAAGTTCTTTACTTTGCTTTCATCTCATAGCTCTGATCAATTCTAACTTGTTGGTGCAACAGAATGTATGTGAGTTTCTGATGCTCATCACACAGTGTCATCATACTGCTTAGAACAGAGGAAATGATCAAAACCAACCAAACATTTAAAAAACAGGCCTAAATGATCACAAATCACACTGCTTTACTTCTAAAAACTTCTCTATTTGATGAATGTCAAATGCTCAAACTTTTATCACTTTCAAGACAGTGTGTCTTTCTTTGCCTAACTTCTGCCTCTGCTGTAGTAAACAGAAAAAACGTGAATATGAAGAACAGCTTTATTTGGAATATGTCTGTACTAAAATACTGTACAAAGTTTTGACTTTGTCTTATTTACTTGTTTTCTCGTCCTCTCACTCAGATGGACCAGGGTTGATGGACCCCTGTGAGAAGGAGGCAACAGATGCTTTGGAAACCTTGATTATTCAAGACAGAGAGGACATAACAGCCAGTGCACAGGTACCTATACACACAATTATACCATGGTCACTTATTTTGATTGGCTTAGAAATGTGGATTACTTTTTAGTAACCAGGTAGTATAATGTGAAAATGTTGCTAAGTGAGAACCACACAAAAATAATACCAAATCTGTTTGATATCTGTGTGAATATGGATTTGCAAATTGAGAATCAGTAGGAGGACAGAAGACTTTTCAAAAGAATGTTAGCGGCAGTGAAACTAGAGAGTGAGGAGCAGCTGCAGGTGAGAAGAGAGAAAACTGAAGGAGGAAATGAGACTGAAATGATGTGAAGAGCTGTGAAAAGGAAAGAGAGACTGCAATAGAAAAACTGAAGTTATTTATATGGGATATCATTTTAATTATTAAGCATGGTATAAGGACCATAATCAAATAAAGTGAGCAACTTGTTGGGTATAATAGTTTACTGATTTTATTTCTTAATGCACCATCTTATCCCTGTTTTTTTATGTCACAATGTACTGTCAGTTGTCAAATTAAAATACCCAATAATCTCAGAAAGAAATATGTAACTCTGCAAATATACCTTTCCCATGTCTTTTTGTTTTGTTTTCAGCACGCTCTGCGGCTGCTCGCGTTCCGACAAGTCCACAAGGTCTTGGGCATGGAGTCCTTGCCCGCGTCCAAGGCCAGCGCTCGCAACCGCAAACGTCGACGGGACGTCAGCGACATGGGGGAGGGAGAGGGAGAGGGGGAGGGCAAAAAAGACAAGAAGGAGGAAGCAGAAAGTGCTTGACCTCTGCTTTCCAGGTCAGAGGTGTTTGCTAGTTTAGAGACTGGTACAGTGTCACAACTCTAAAATGTTCTTATCTTGAAAACAATCCTAACACGCAGCTATACACATATGAATATAACTGACTTTACATGTTACATGTCTGCTCTTGAATTAAGAGGAATAATGTGTTGGAGGAAGAGGACTGAAGTTTGAGAATCTTTACTGCAAGTTCTTTCTCCTGTGTTGTGATTTCCTGCAGATGTAGTGTGTCTGAAACATTACAAAGAAAATTGGGTCGGTTAAAGAAAACGCATCATGAAAGTAACTGACTGCATCATTCCATTTTAGTCTAATTGCACAACAAGTACTGACCATCACTCCCTTGTTTATTCACAATAGTAAAACCACCACTGTCATGTACAGTTGTATTGTTATTATTAGAGCATCCGGTATCATTACATCAGAAGCACCTTATTTTATTTACAAAGTCTGAACTCTACTGCTCTCTAGCCCAGTTCAATATTAATCTTGACACGAGTCATGAGTCACTGAACATCTGTACACTGAAATCAGTTTTTCAGCTAGTTGTTTTTAAAAACAAAAGATGAGGGTTTGTTGTTGAAGCTTTGAGATCATTGAAGACTGACTGTTCAGACCCAGATCACAACAGAATACATACGTTACTGTGATGTTCTTTGTGCCTGAGACGACTCATTAGTAATAAAAGAGTGCAATGCTGTTGAATGACCTTTCTGAACTCTGCACGCCCTGTCCTGTTAAGCTTTGTCGACATTTCCTCCTGATGCGTGTTCAAAACGTGCAAGAGATTCGACTGAAGAGTTTTGAAATGTAACCAAATGTCCCAATCTACTTTGATCTAAAATAAAGACTAGACTAAAATAACTTCCCTCCCCCCTGAAAATGCTTCGCGGAGAGCTTTAATCAGTAACCCACAAAGACAAACAAGCTCTGCTGTGGGGGTTTTTTCTGCAGAGTTCACACTGAAGAGTAAATCTCTCTCGGAGGAGACGAGTGTTGCGTCGCACAGTCTGTAGCATGCTGAGAAAATGAAGCACTTAAGAAATGGCAGTGTTACTGTATGCAGCCATGATCTTATCATTGAAATAATATGCCTGGTAATCTTTTTTTCTTCCACAGTATGGTTAGCAGAAAAGAGAAGCTTTAGTCATAAAAATGAGACTGAATATCTACTGTAATAAAAAATAAATTAGCTATAGACTTTGACTTTCTTCCTTGTGCCTGCATTATGTGGTGTGTTACAGAAGAATGAGTAAAGGGGAACATGTTTTTTTTGTTATCATTGTAAGATTTTGTTTCACACAGATGTAGGACAGGGAAGGGATGGTTGCACAGACCCGAAGGCTTAAAAGTTGATGTGAGATAATTATTGTGCTGGTTTAAGTTTGAATTTCATTTAAGAGTATCATATATATAAGTATTGCTTATTTTATTTCTGAAGATTATTTTGTATTGTTAAAACAGAAAGTGTGAACAGTTGCTGTCCTATTATTTGAATGTCTTAGTAGTGTTGCCTAAAATTGAGGGGACATATTAAAACACTTTTAAGCCACTTTGTCTCCTGGGTTTGTGTGTGAGTGTGTTTACCTGGTATTACTACTGGTGTGGGGACCTAGATCTATTGACACAGTTAAGGTTAAAGACAAGGTTAGGATTATAGCAAAGGTTAGCTTAATGTTAGGATTAGGTTAAAATGATGTCAAAGATTAGGTTATGGTAAGTGTTAAATTAAAGTTAAGCATAAAGTCAACGTTAGGCAAGTAGTAAGTATATTAAAGGTTAAAGTAAGTCTACAAGAAATCTACTACTGTGTGCCTGCATGGTTTTCCTTCTATGAGGACAAATGTTGGTTCTATACCATCATTAAGAGGACTTTTTGACTTTATCAGGACATTTTAGCTCTGAGGGTTAAGACTTGGTCTAAGGTTTGACATTTAGTTGGATAAAGTTAGGATAAGGGGCTATTATGCATTATGTCAATGAGTGTCCTTACAACTGTAGAGAGACGCGTGCGTGTGTGTCATTTTTCCTGCTTAGACATTGTCAAGAGACCAAACAACAAACGAAAAGTTCCTCACTGCACCCACGTCACTTCTTACGTCACCTCATTAAATATAAACTACATGTTCCAAAATGACCAGGAAGTGACACTCACACACGGAGTCCGGCGCTCGCGCGGCAGCAGCTGCTGGCACATCTGGATGGAGACATTTCTGGATCTGCTCCTGTCCATCTGTGAGGACGACGATATCTGAGAGGACACGTCACCGCTGAATGAAACGGAGAAGAAGCTGAACTCGTGGGGTTGTTTTCCTGCAGTTTACTGAGGAGAGGAGGCGAGGAGACGAGAGGCGAGGAGACGAGAGGCGAGGAGACAAGAGGAGAGGAGAGGAGGCTGTCAGCATCTGTCCAGAGAGAGTGGGGGGGGGGGGGGGGGGGGGCTGCAGGTACTGAAACATTCATGTCCACCAGCATCCACACTGAACAAGCTGTCAGAGGTTCTCAGCTGGTTGTTACTTTACATTCATGCCACAGCAGCAGTCAGACACACGCCAACATCTGTAACATGTCAACATCTGTAACATGTGAACATCTGTAACATGTCAGCATCTGTAACATGTGCACATCTGTAACATGTCAGCATCTGTAACATGTCAACATCTTAATTGTTTTATTGTATTGACCCGTAGCTGCTGCTCCTCATGCACATATCCAGACATCAGACAGGAAACACACACCATGGACGGATGTGTTATTCTGAGATATTCATAGACTCCTTCTCGTCTTTACAGGTGATCGACGCAGAATCATCCAGCCCTTGTCCTGGTCATGGCAAAGGTACGTACACGGAATATAGGACAGTGTTTAGGAGCAGGTTCGAAACCTTTATTTTATGTGGTGTCAAAGTTTCCCTAGAGCTATTGATTTGAATTAAGAGATCTAAAACAACAGCTACATAGTAATTTAAGTCATTTTAATACAATAGGATTAGTGTGTAGGCGTAGAGATGGAAGTCAGGGTTTCTGGTATTGAACTTTAAAGCTCTGGTAAAATCTAAATTTTTACTTCTACTGTAGCTGTGACTGACTTGGCCAGGTCTTCTCTGTTAGCAGATTTTTGATTTAACCTGATTAAAAAGTCAGCGTGAATCCTTTATCATAAATTACTTCCTTTGTCATTTTAATATGTGGTTCCCCGGATTTTTTGAGAAAGAGCAAGTCTGCCTCATGAAATGGTGATTACACAACTCTACCAGAGCATTTGTATTTCGAATGGCAATTACAGGAAGCTACATGGTGACCACGAGGAACTTAGGCTATGTTATAAAAAGTGTGCGATCCGGTAGGTTGAAGTGATAGATTGTATATGAATGATTATTTAAATGAGGCAGGTCGGTGCTCATGAAATAAACAATGCAGTTATTGAACTTAGACAAAGAGTATCTGCTCTTACTTCCTCTATTAATACTACCAAATAAATTGTCATTGCAATAACAGATTGTCATGGCAATAACAGATTATTAAAAAGTAGTTTTTTTTAAAACTATGACAAGCCTGTAAAGTCTGACTGCATTATTTCAGATATATTATAAAGCTGATGGCTGATTCCTTATTGTCTCTGCAGATGAGCTGGACTGCTGGGACTCAGTGTGTGGCCAAAGGAAACCACAGAAAAGCCAAACCCGGAGAACTGGCTTATCACAAAGGAGACATCTTCACTATAGTTGACATTAGCACAGTACTGTCATGTTTTACCTAACACAAGGCACAGTTCATACGTATTTACATGTACAGCCTCTTTGTGATTCACCGTATGACGCAAGACTCATGGCTCTTTTTCAGAGGAAGGGATTTTACAAAGCCAGACACAACATCACAGGAAACGAGGGGCTCATCAACTCCACCAGTGTTCGTGAAAGAGAGGCTCTACGTGTCGACCCCAGCCTCAGCCTCATGCCGTGAGTCTCCTCTTCTGAATTTTACACTTATTTATTCTTGAGCTTCTCACAGGAAAACTCGACTTTCTGTCACTTTCTCAAATCTTATGACCACTCTGTGTGGGCTGGCATTGGAACAAACACTGAGTATTAAACTTCCTAACTTCCCCTTTTTTATGAGTTAGAAATGTTGGTTAGTCCTTGTTCATTTTTACTAGGAGTCAAAAATTACTCAACAACACAAGTTTTGACCAAACTTAAATATATTTCTTGGGTGTATTTGTATGGGAGAGGGAGAGCACGGATTTTGATGCCATTCAGTTTCAACTATTACAAATAAAATGGCGTTCCTGCAATTTCTTTAGGAACACCCACAAACTGTAAGAAGTGCACCTGCACACTCAAATGAACTATCTGTCTGAACATGCGGCACTATGACTGAGAGGAGATGAAATGACAGGTTATCAAGTGGGAGGGAGTTGGGGTATTTTTCGTTTAAAGGCGACGTCATCCCCCTAAAATTCAACTACTGGTCTGATGCTATGACCCCCTGTCTGATAAAAAAAAAAAAATATCTGTGAAATGTTTGGGACTCTTTTGTGAATCCAATCAGAAAGAGTATCAGCATGATTTGCAGAGACAAAGAGTTTTATTCCTGTGGTTCACCCTGTGCCGTCTTTCATCAGCTGGTTCCATGGGAACATCTCTGGTCCAGAGGCGGTGTGTAAGCTGCAGCCAGCTGAGGACGGCTTGTTCCTGGTGCGAGAGTCTGTCCGCCATCCCGGCGACTACGTCCTGTGTGTCAGCATCTCTGGAGAGGTCGTCCACTACCGAGTGATTTATCAGGACAACAAGCTGACTATTGACAACATGGAGTTTTTCTACAACCTGATTGACATGATCGAGGTGAGAGAAAATGAAATGGGGGAAAAAAGCTTGAAAGTCCAGCTGCAGTGTTCACAACATCTGTGAGGAGAAAAGTGGAGATGAAAAGAAAAGTATTACCTGAGGACTCAATGTGGATTATTCATAAAGTCACTGTCATATAACAGAGAGAGAAGGGATTTCAGGCACAAATCCATCTATGTCTAAAGTGTATTCAGAAGCAAAATAGTTTGAACAACACTGGCAGCATAAATAATTAAATCTCCTTGGCCTGGAGTTTCTAATCTGGGGTATGAACAAGATCAGTGTGATGGGTCATAAGATGATTAACAGAAAAAAAACATTTATTTTCCATCAAATATATTTATTTTTAATCAGATTTTTCACTAAACATTTGACCTTAAGACAGCACTAGAGGAAAAGTATCGATGAGCCAAATTTCCTGGCGATTCAATTAAATCCATTCATTAAAACTCAAAAGCTGGAGGATCTCCAAAGTTGTGGGATCTGAAGCCAGGAAAGTTGTATGATATTTATATTCAGACTGAAGTGCTGGGCCAACAGACTGAAAACACTGTCATCCATAGGGAAACTTCACAAGCCAAAAAGGTTGGACACAACAGCCCTGGGCGATACTGTATTCAAGTCCAAACTATTAGTCAGCCTGAACACCACCAGTGTCAAATTTTACTGAGAAACAGACAGGAAACCTCATTGAACACACTCCTTTTTTGGTTTGGCCTGGGTTGACTTGAGGTTGTAGTGAAAGCTCAACAGCATTGAGGTTTTGAAACGCAGCTGCAATCGCTCTGCAGCACCTTATCAGTGAGCCACAGACGTCATCAGGTCTGAGTCACAGTGGCTGACAAGTTCCTGTGAGGAACACACAAGAGGGCTGTCTCTGCTGAATCGTCTGCTCCTGTATCTTCTGTCTCCCTGTACCTGCAGACGGCTGACTGTACCAAACCAGACTTTAATGTCCCTCTTCATTTATTTTGGATTAGTTAAATTCAGCTGTTGCTTTTTTACTTCAAAAAAATCTTCTATTATTTGAGAACAGAGGCCATACATTGACACTGACCAGTATCTCTACACATTTTGTCTGGTGCAGTGTGTTTTGCTGTCTTAATTTAGGTTGTACGCTCACTTATTTTCTCACTTTGTTAAGGTGTTCACACATGACCACACTGTTCACAGTGTACTGCTGTTTTCCTGCACAGCTCAAACTGTGAAATTTTCAACGAGCTTGCAATTATTGTTTTAAGCGAGAGAAAGCTATATATTTATGATTATGGACACATTTTACAGACCGAAACAAGCATGAACATAGACACACACTTAGTTTGTGGCCCAGGTCAAACCTGCTGACCGGCACTGACGTGTCCCATGTCCACAGATGTGTGTGATGAACATCTGCTGTTGTGTTTCCGTCTCTGCAGTTCTACTCGAAATACAAAGGCTCCATTGCTACGACTCTTCTAAAGCCCAAAGAAAAACAAGGAGCCAAGTCAGCTGAGTTAGAGCTGTCCAAAAGTAAGTCTCCTGTTTACAACTGAGTCCAAAGGAAATTATATTGGGACAACAGTGTCTTTCGTCAGTAGGACTCAAGAAGAGGGTGCATTCTTGAAATGATTTAAATTAATCATCAGTAGTCCTTTTTAGAATATCAAATATTTACAGCTATGACCAAAAAGAGAAAGTCTAAGAATGAGGCAGGTTTATATTGTTCATGTGTCTCTCCTCTACAGCTGGATGGCTGCTGGACATGGCAAAGCTCACACTGGGGGAGACTATTGGAGAGGGGGAGTTTGGTGGTGAGATTTTTTTAGATTTTATTTTGTTCCGTTTCATTGGTTTTACAATCTCTGTGGCCTCACAGGGTTTGTAGTGGAAGTAGATTTAGAGCATGAAAGCAAGAGAAGTAAAGTGCTGTCATCTGTGATGGGTAAATAATGTGTCACTCTCCACTGCAGCTGTACATAAGGGAGAGTACATGGGCCAGAAGGTGGCGGTAAAGACCATTAAATGTGACGTCACAGCTCAGGCCTTCCTGCAGGAGACAGCAGTCATGACGTGAGAACATTTCAGCACTTTAAAATATTCATCTTTTGCCAAAACCATCTGAAGAATGAATCAGGCCTCAGTTTCAGTGTGTTTGCTCAGTCATAAATGAACTCTGTGTTTTCATCACTTTACTTTTACTTTACTTACATTGTGATTTATGTTTCCCAGGAAGCTCCAGCATAAAAACCTGGTGCGTTTGTTGGGCGTCATTCTTCACAAAGGGCTTCATATTGTCACAGAGCTCATGAGTAAGGTACAGTTAACATGTTTATCAATGGTTCTCCATATCAACATCCTCACAATAAGAACAGAAAACTATGTAAAATAACTGAAATTAGAAAACAGAGTGGATATATATCTACAGTAAACTAAATGATGCTCAGCACAACTATTCAAAAGTGTATGGCAACAGAATAAAACCACATATATTGAGTGAAAAGTCTGAGTTTGAACTAAAATACCCATATTCCCTGCGGCTGCTCAGAGGCACCAAAGTGCAGGGAGGGCTGTGCAGCTGAGTCTGACTTTCTCTTCTGGGGAATTCAATCTGAGCTCAGAGGAGACTGTTGTTCCATCGAAGTCAAATGAACCACAACCAATGATATGATATTTTTTTTAGAAAGCAGTTGATATTCAGATATACTGTAGTATCAAATAGTTACCCCAGCTTGCTATGTGTAGTATTACACATAACATCGACTGAGAAATCCTCTTATGGAACATTCATGATGTGTTATATCAATGGATTTTGTGTTGCAGGGAAACCTTGTTAATTTTCTCAGGACAAGGGGACGTTCAGTTGTCACCTCAGTTCAGCTGCTGCACTTTGCATTGTGAGTTCCAACGTGAATAGAAAAACATATTATTTTAATTCTTTGAATGTTCTCCATAGCAAATAACATACTGTGTTTTTGAGTTTAGACAGTGTCGACAGACGGGCAGCGTGCATTTGAACAGTGTATTTCATGAAAGTCACCTGAGACTTGCTTGTGTGGCTTTGCGTGTTGGTGCTGCAGGGATGTGTGTGACGGGATGGAGTACCTGGAGTCTAAGAAGCTGGTTCATAGAGACTTGGCAGCTCGTAACATCCTGGTCTCTGATGACAGTGTGGCCAAGGTCAGCGACTTTGGTCTGACCAAGGTGGACTCCAAGGTGTCAGATAAAATCAAACTGCCAGTTAAATGGACCGCCCCTGAAGCTCTGATGAAAGAGGTTGGTTTAAAGAGGTTTTCTTTTACCCTTTATTACTTATTGATCATTATTATCAATATTATTATTATTAGATGTACTACTTATATATGTACTTATTTATGTAATGATAATATTATTAATATTCTGTATCTGTCTAGAACCTATATCATTACATCCTGAATTATCTTCACACACCCACACACACAAATATATATATTTATAGGTGTGAGTGTGTGGGTGTTTATAGAGAATTTCAAGTAAAATGAAACAAAAAAGAAGGGTGGTCATGACTCACTTTTTTATATTTAAGCCTATTGAGAAATCATTAATTCAATCCCTTTAATCTGTGTTAATCCATGAATTAAGACCAGGTTGTGATATTGCAAATCTTTCTCCAGTATAACTTGTCTTTTATCAGGATTTTCAAATTTGAATACCCCCTTATAATCCCTTTACTAAGTAGGTCCTTTTATAAAGTGTCTTCAAACAGAAAGTACAAACCTTTTCTCTCATCATGCAGAAATTCTCCACAAAGTCAGATGTCTGGAGTTACGGTGTTCTTCTGTGGGAGATCTTCTCATACGGTCGTCTGCCGTACCCGAAGATGGTATGTAGCACTAATATATGTTCCTATTGGTGTGCAGTATGTGTGTGTGTTTACATCATCAAACATCTGCATGGTTACTCTGTCTGAAAATCTCAAATCTCTCTCTCTGTGCTTATGGATGACAAAGGTTGATGTTGAGAGAGGTCACCCCTATATGAAATCTACAAGATTTTACTATTGATAAATCCTTTTTTGAACACTTTATATTCTCAGTTTTGCTCGATTCAACAAAACAAATTATGACAGCAACAATAACAACCCCTCCAAAAGTGAAAGCAGAGACAAGTAGAAGAAAGTTAGACAACTGTAAAACACAGACTCCATTTTTATATAACGTATAATATGTGAGTGGCAGAAGCAGCCTGTCATACTGTACAGTCATTTGGTGATGGACTGTTTCTGTAACAGCTGTGTAGGCACACAGGGACACTGAAGGAGAGAAGGAGGGAGGGGAAAAAAGCAGCTGCACAGTGCAGGGTGTATGAATGTGTGCAGAATGTTTGCACTCGAGAGAAAGAGAAAACAAAATCAGGTTGCATGAATATCTTCACCACATGATCACAAAAGGGAAACCGGAGGAGATACACCTTAACTTGTTTGATCCACTGTATAAAGGAGCAGAATCAGGCCTTCATCTCATTAAGAATAATCATAATTTCACTGAAGTAAACATTACAGCATTTGACTGGTATGAAGTGGTGTTATGTTTCTTTTTGTTAGAGATGCAGCTAATATTACCATGCATGGATCAGGGTATAATGTTTTGTTGCATACAGAGGAATACACTTCAAACATTGACTAACATGACCAGAACAAATGCACCATTGATTGCTGGTGCTTGATGACATGTAAGACAGTTATCATCCAACACTTTTTTTTTTTTTTATCATTAGCTGACATATAATGTTATAATCTTACTGAATTAATTGTTTGATAATTCAAATCTAATATGATCTAAAATCAGTTGTTCTTTTCACTGAGGGACATTTTACAACTTCTGGTTACTGTGATGGCACTAAATAATCTGATGTCTCCAGTTTTGTGGGTGCCGGCAGAGTAAAGTCATCTCCTAATCCCTCTGGTTGTTGACAACTCTAGCAAGCTCTAGTAAAAAAGAAATCATGATGAAAATATGAACTGACTCCCCTCTCAGCCCACAGCAACAGGAAGGAGTATCAGGCTTGTTACCTAACTCTGTTACCATGTCATGTCGGGACTCCTGTCTGATCACGCAGTTGGTGTGTCCGTGGAAAAGCAGCCAAGCCAAGTGGTTAGATTCATCACTAGGCCGTCATCACTGGATTGACTTAGCACGTCTGAGCAGGAAACTGCTTCAGGTCATTGACATCATTGTCCTGCGTCAGCGAGGAGAGAGGTTTATCAGAGACACTTCACAAAGGAGTCTCTACTGTTACAGTACATTGTGATTGGGCAACATGTCGGAAGTAATGTGTTTGTAGGATGAGAAGCGAAATCTTTCCTGGTGTCACAGAGGTCAGAGCACGTAGGTGTAAGAGACAACAGGTTGATGTAACCGGGATCATGTTGAAACTGTAATGGAGAGACTGAAAAGGAAGTATGCTACTTAAACATGGCCCTGTTTGCTCTTCTCTCTCTTGTAATCCCTGTGCCCTGATCACAGGTGATTTGTGTCTTGGCCAATGGTTCAGTGAGGACGGCAGGAACAGGCAGCATTAATGGAAGGGACAGTTGGCACGTTGAGGCCTTGACGTCTCTTTTGAACAATACATACGGTGGTGGTGTCCTTTTAAATGCAGATGATTATCTCCTAATCACTGTCTGTTCAGGTTAATTCATTTGAGTCAAGTTTATTGTGCCCTCAATTAAACTCAGCACCTGGTAATTTGTTATCTGCTGTTATTTGGCAGAGGAGACAAACTGAGGGACCAAGGTCAAAATTACAAAGAGGTAGTATGTGTGTGTGTGTGTCTGTGTGTGTTTGGTTAGTATCTGTGATTTCAACACATTCCCCCACATAGTGCAAAAGAAACCTAACTTTCTATTTGCAAAAAGGATTGCAAGGCTTTTTTTCCTAATTGCTATGCAGCCAGACAAATGAGATTTGTTGAAAAATTTTTATTTTGTGTCTTGTATCCTCATACTTACTAATGTCACGAAAACCTTCCACTTCTCCCTCTCCATCCACACTTTCTTCCTCCTTTCTTGTTGCTCCCTGATCATGCAGTCTTTGAAGGAGGTAAAGGAAAGAGTGGAGGGAGGTTATCGGATGGAGGCTCCAGAAGATTGTCCTCCTAGCGTTTACTCCCTAATGACTATTTGCTGGGAGCAGGAGCCACGCAGAAGACCTGCTTTCCACAAACTGAGGGAGAAACTTGAGCGGGAGATGGAGAAACTTGAGCGGGAGATGGAGAAACACAGCCCGGGCCCTGGAGCGTCAGGAGGGGATTAAGTCTGGATCTTGTTGCAGATCCTGGTCTTTAACTCCCAATGGTGGAAATAAAAGTGATGACTCTTCGGCAGCTAACCCGCTCACTGTGCATCACGCAAAAAGATCCAGCGTAAATGTTCCTTTACTCCCAGCAGTCCGATTGGATTCCTTTAAACTGGCGGATATGACAAGACGATGGTTCTGGTCATCATGTAATGCCAGAAAAGATTTAAAAGATGGAGGCATGAACATAGTTACTTCACTTCAGTGGTTCTGTGCAAAGCAAAAATGGGTGAATCATATCTTGACACGGTCATTTTAAAACTGAGGCTGCAATCAAATGACTGTTGGATGGATTTTCATGAGACATCACTTAGGTGATCTTAAGGACTGGATGGATTGCAATGAAAACGTGTACACACGACTAATCTGAACGTTCACCTTTATGACCAGTCACCTTTAAAACCATAGACTGTTTTTAAAGATGGATGAAATGACAGCTTTCTAAAATTGAAGCCAAAGCGACTTGATCACCACCTGGTGGCCGGCTGCAGTACAGATCATAGATCCCACCCCCTCCATGTTAGCAGATGTGATATGAGCCAAACTAAAAAGTCAAAGAACTCGTCATATTATTGATGTCAAATATGGTTTATATATGGTCTGGATAAAAAAGAGAACCATCGTTAAATGATTGATTTTTTGTTTATTCTTAGGATTTATTGAAGTAAGAAAAACACAAAGCACCAGTTTCATCCTTAAGCAATATTGTAAAGCATCATGATAATACAGTGGAGTGTTATGGTGGTTTTTGAAATGTTTTACATTGATTTTGAATGTCATGATCACATCTACACGATCGTAAAATATAATGCTTCAAATGAGGAGTAAAAACTGATTATTTGCAGGTAATGTCAGGGAGAGATGTCAGAAAAAAGATGAAGCATATGAAATGAAGAAAGAAGAAAAATGTTCATCCGGATTTAATCACCAGATCTCTACAATCTGCCTGTACTCCAGCATTAGGCTCAGCAATATGCCATGGACTCAGGGCTTAGTCTGAAAAATATTTAATGTCACTCATGGTTGATAACAAGTAAAGTTGGTTTTTAAAGACATTTTGAAGTGTGGCTGCTCATTAATCTTTTAGTTAATACAGTAAAGCTTCTTGACTTCTATGAATGCCAGAATTAACTTATTCAAGAAACCAAGCCTGTTTCTGCCACTTTGTGCTTCACACTCCACTGGCCAGAATACTACAGAGTGACTTTGATTCATTTCTTTTCAATTTAATTCAGTGTATTTAAATTGAATTTGTTTTGTGAGACTAAAACTAAGGGAAATGTTTTATTTATTACTCATTTCTGTTCCGTCTGTATTGGGATTTTGAGATTATAGGAGCGACCTTGTGTTATCTGCTGTCCACTACTCTCATCTCTAGGGATCTCTTTGGGTTTTTGCAGGTACAGAATGTTTCAGGCTTTCTCATTGTTGGAGTGGAGTTGTTTATTTTACATATAAAGTTAATCTATTTATTACAATACATTATCACTAAATTCACAGTGTGTAATCATCTAATAGAAATGCAATTAAATGTAAGATAAATACACTTTTCAAGCTCAAAACTCACAACATGCGAAACCTCCTTTTTTGGATTATTGTCACGTCACAAGACCATATTAAAGATGTCATTTTATTTTAAGTCTATGTAATCCTGGTATTTGTCTGTGTCCCAGGAGATGGACCCCAAATTGAGGCTTGGTCCTTTATCTGTTGTTATCATGCAGCACTGACGAGGCTCCTCCATGATTTGTTCAATCTTCTGGGTTTTCCTCAAGCTCTCTAATGGGATGTGCAGCAATTTTCTGCACAAGGATTTATTAAGGAACCAAAAAAAAAAAAACATAATAAAAGATTTACTGTCTTTGAAGAGGATGAGTTATACGTTATTTGTTGGAGGATTTTTTTTTCTCCTTGCACTGGAGCACTGATGTAGGGATTTGGGGACAAAGTGTTCGCACCAGTATCCAATATGTTAATGGCTGAGTTGAGATGCTTTTCTTTGTGGGTTCTAATACCTTCCAAGGTGTGCTTTTCGACTAATACTCAGTGAAGACTTAATCTGCTGATCCAATGACGTAGATAAACAAAGAGTGAGCCGTCAGCTGTTGCTTTCCTATTTTCATTTAAATGATTTTCCCTCCTTCATTCTCAGTTTCTTATTTTCAAGCCTTTAACGCTTTATCGACAAAATTTATTTATTAGGCAACAAAGACATTGGGTCTTTATACCTCACATTCCTGTATACTGTAAGTGAATACTATAACCATTCAGATTCAGGGCCAAGATGTGAACACAAATCAAGAGATTGGAGATGATTAACAAAGGTTTTATTGTAATGGGGAAACAGAGTTTGTCCTGACGGTTCCAGTGATGAGGCTGGGAATGGTGGAGTGAAGAAATCTGGAGTGAAACTACTTTAATATCACAAAACAAACAAACAGCAGCTTACTGATGTTCTGACCCGTTCTCTGAAATCAAAGTAAAATTCAACCACTTTCAATTTCAATTTATTTCTTATTCAGTCACGTACCATGGCTAGTTTTAAGTAGATTGTAGTCTGAGGCTAAGAACAAAAAAAGGTCTGAGGCTAAGAACAAAAAAGGTCTGAGGTTAAGAAAAAAGCATGGCCATGATCTCTGAGCCTATGTAAGTACATAATGTGCTCTTCCTAGAATACCATTTAGTCTGAGTAGATCCCTGGGTAGCTGCTCTCTTCTGCTCCAGACACTACAACCCAAAACCTTCATCTTCATCCTGTACTGCAAAATTATGTTTTCTTTTCTACAATAACTACAGGAATCTGGAAGCAACAAGATGGATCCTCATGGGCAAATTATAGCTCTTCCCTCTTGATACCTGAGAGAAAATTATCTTTGATTTACTGGTCATGGAAAGTAACATATAGAAGTACAATTTATTTATCTGCACCACTTCTACAGTATATTTTCAGAGGCAAATATTGTACTTTACTCCATAACATTTATCTGAAATAATAATTTTACACACAAAATATATCAACAATGTACACAGTATGACACATCGTTATAGATTAAACGAGCCGAAAGTATTTAAAGTTGACTAAATTAGCTCCGACATTAACATGATGCTTTCATATAGCATCTATATTTCCTGTGTTGCCCATCACCATCGTATTGCCTGACCAAAATGTGTCTGTGGGTGTGTGACACTGTACACTAAATCGATCTGATGCGTCAAATGGTTGGGATTATCAGCATAACACCTATCAAATCTGAAGTCAATTGGATGAGCGGTTGTCAAAGAAACTGGGTGGAAGGACTGGACAAGAACAGTGTGAAATATGTTTAGCCCAAGACATACTGTAAGTAGGTCAGGCTCCACGCAGTGTAAGACTTACAAGTTAACAGCCCTGATTATACCTGTGTGGAATTACAGCAGCACACAGGGAAGAGATGGGTTTTCACTTCATCGTCTCTGTCACTGTTGGCAACTCAAACGTCTTGTCCTCCACTGGTTGTTCCTGAGGACTCAATGGCTTCTCACATTGAGACAATTTTTGAACTGAATATGCAAAGTACAATTATCAAACTGATTGTGGGGCGGTTCGTATAATGCTACAACGGGAAGGTCCAGCTTTACTAAAGCAAAAATCTTTCACATTTGTCTTGTGGACTCTTGAATTATCCGTCTGTTGTCATTTAACTGGCTTCAGGAAACTGGACTCTGATAAAACTTCCCCGTACAACAGACACAGGCCCACATAACAATCGGAAGTGTTATGGTGCTTATACTGTGTGAGTGGCCATATATGTGCAGCAGTAAATACTCACCTCTCCATAATTACATTTTCCTGAAAAGATGAGTGAGTAGTTCGGGCTTTAATCCTGAGCTGTCATTAGCTTTAAAGAGCTAACCCTAGTGTCATAGTAGAATGTCTAAGCCAGGACAATGGATCTGATTATCCTGATCTCCCAGTGTCTGTGCAGGTTTTCTCCAGGTACTCCAGCTTCCTCACACAGTTAATTTTAGCGTCTAAACGGAGCCTGATACATGAATATGAGTGTGAAGAATTGTTTGTCACCCCTGTGATGAACTGGTGACCTGTAAGCTCCCCTGCGACCCTCCATGGATAAGCAGTAAGAATAATGGATGGTGGATATGTGGCAAAGGTTGGGATAGTGTTAGGCTCAGAAAATGACCAGACATGTCTCCTGCTACATCAGGTGAAGACCTTACTTGCTCTCGAAAGCCCGAGTTAATGCATTGATTCGTGGAGGTGCCTCTGCTTTTGGTGAACTCTCTGTGCAAATGAAAGTGTTGGAACCATTATGAACTGTGTTACATTCATTCATTATTAGGTAAATATTGCACAAGGTTATCCTGTATACCTATATTAGATGTGTTGAGAAAGACATCTAACAGAGGAAGCACAGTCTTCAGATGAGAACCTCATATGGAGCTGGTTTGGGGTGAACTGAAAATAAAGTGCAACATATTTTCAAGGAGCTTTGGCATCAATGTGGAGACAAACTTTCCAAACAATACTTTGCTTAAAACTCTACCTGCTTATCTACAAAATCAATCAACTCTTCTTCTCACTGGGCACTTTGATTGTTTGTTGTTTAACAGTGCAGGAAACAGTACTATCACCTGGACGCCGACAAATTGAAACGTCAAAAGTCTGGCAGTAAAATCTTTGTACATGTTTTACCAGGGTTATTTTTGCACATTTCTAGTGTACAATACATTTCCAGTGTGCACAAGGGTGTTTCTCTGTTAGCTGAGTCAAAAATGTTTATTCAACTTCGTTAAACAAGAGGATTAATTGATTCAGTTTAATGGGTTTATTCTAGGCTTTAACAATAGAACAGGCTCTTCCTGTCTGCCACTCTGTTTAAAAATGTGAACGGACACACACACGGTGCACTAACTATTCACACACACTCCGAACAGTTAAAGGTCAAGTACTTTTGAATGTATATATTCTTAGTTTTGTATTGTATTGCATATTACCTTTTTATAGTAAGCTCTTTTTACCTTGCTACCTTTTTGTTTTAATGTCACTGCCAGCAGTGGTGCGTTCCCACCTTTCTGCCAGCAGTTTGTTCACACGTCTGTGGAGGCACAGTGGCATCAGAAATATCAAACGTCAATGTAAAAACAATTTCAACCAATTACAGAAGAGAGATTTGTGTATGTGTGTGTGTGGTTTTCCATGACAGAGAGCTAGTGAATCACATGAATACCTTCCCTGTCACACCACCTCACTCTTTCCTCCACCTCACCTATTTTTTTTCTCCCCCTCTCTTCCTCTCTCCTTCTCTCTCCCTTCTCTTTTTCTCCCTCCCTCCTCCCCCTACACCTCCCTCAATAAGCTGACACTGCGCATTTACACATTAGCTGCTTTTTACCGCTAATAGGATCAGGGGGACTTACATTGTCATCTGATAAAACTAAGCAGCTTGATACGCTGCTCCTTTTTAACCAATTTATGCTCAATTATAAAACAGAGGCAGAGCGGAGGGACAGAAATGTATTTAGACGATTATGAGGGGATGAATGAGTGATCATTACTCTTAAGCTTGTTGACAGAAAGAGTCAGCTTTAACAATAGGAATAAAAGACTATGTTGTAACAAAGAAATGTTCATATTGTATTACACACTGGTTTACACGTTTGGAATTTCGATGGTTATTCAATTAAATTAATAACAAAAAAAAACCCAATTTAAATAATTGATTGTACTTTGCAAGCCGTTACTCTGATAAGATTTTTCCTCTATTATAACCTGACTACATAACCACCACGTACTTTCTTTCACTCTCTTCTATTATTTGAATGACACCAATGAGTTATCCGCTGAAAATAACTACGAGCTGCTGTGGCAGAACTTCAGTGACAGTATACACCAGCCCACCAATTAAAAAACCCATCTCACATGTCTTTACATTCGTGCCTGGATATGGACACACAGTGGCACATTCAATTCAGTTTATTTTTAAAGAGCCAAATCACATTTTAGATGCACATTTTCTCAAGGCACTTCACATAGCATGGTCGAGATCAAACAATATTATAGAGAAACCCGACAGTTAATTTTACAACGAGCAGATACATGTGCCTGGAACTTTGTACTCAGTGCCAGACCCCCAAAATATAATAATAATAATAATAAAGTCTCTGGGACCAGAAACAGAATCAGTCAGTTATTATTCCTGGTGCCTACATTATCCATAATGCAACACGACTACTTACAGTTTGGTTGGAGATTAAGTTTTGTTGTGCTAGTATCATCTAATATAGCCTTGAGTTACTGATCTCAAGCAGAGATGAGGAGCAGACTAAAGAAGTCCAGTAAACTCACTTCTTTCAAAAAACACAATTTCTTTTCTCCAACACAAACTTACACCACTTAGGGAAATATATTTAATTTTACAAAGCTTCCTCTGTAGCCACAAAGGGATTTATGCTTTTTCTTTAAAATATATTGTTTGTCAAGTCATTCATTTCAAGATAATTATCTATTTTATCATATGTCTGGCATTTTCCTCTTTACATCAACAATTGAGTTGCAGTTAATAAACAATCATCACAGTGCCATTGTGACATGTCAGAGTAGACAGAGATTAAATCCAGACAGATTTCATGCAAACATTTCACAAAATATTTTATGAAAATGGATAACATCTCACTTTTGTACAGTTTTATTTAAAGGAAATACAGAAAAAAACAAAACATTTTCCTGGATTGGTTAAATCACACATATCTGTTGGCCTTTTAAATGAACAGGTCTCTTATCAGCTTGTTATATGAAGAGAATTTGTTTTTTTAGACTGGACCTCCTGTATTATCATTACAAAGTTTCCCTTTTCATGTAGTTCCACATAATAACATTGGGAGGTTTGCTTTGCTCGGTGAAAACCTCCGTGTTTTTTTCTTTTTGTCTTTAAAACAAAACAAAAAATTATGAAAGGAAGTCTTGTTGGGGATTCATTAGGCCGGCCTCCTCCTGTGGGGGTGAATGGAAAAGACATTTAAAACAATTACTTGAGCAGAAAACAGCTGCCAATCACTCTTAAAGGGGAAGGATCCCAATTAACAACCCTCTCCTAATCCCCTCTTTTCACCTCCTACGCCCCCCCTCAGCTTTGTCCACCTCTCCCTCTGTGTCTGCCTCCTCTTCCACTCTCCTCTCTGAGCTGGAGTGCATGGCGTCTCAGCTCATGTGTTGACTGTCCTCTGCAGTGGGCTGCTTTTATTTACCTGCACTTTACTGGAGTGTGTTTTTTTTTGTTGTTGTTGTCAGGACTGTTTTTCACATACAGAAATCATTTAGAGACATGCAAGGTGAGCAGAGGCGGCTGAGTGAGCGGAGCACATAGCGGATCTGTGGAGGAGTGAAGTTGGAGGGGGAACAGGTGGAGGACTGGCATCAGCAGCTTCAACACTTCAGCGTATTTACATCCAAGAGGTAGGATCTGTGTCATTTTAGGTTTTGCTCACACTGAAGTTCAGCTGTGTTTGCATGTACCAACTGAAGGTGTGTGAGTCCAAAAAGATGAGCTCAGCTGAGCTCAATCTGGAAATTGGACTGATCAAACAAACACTCAGGACTTTAGGACTTTTTTATCACAACTCCACATACTCCTGTTGCTCTTTGAATGAGCATGACAGAACACAATTAATGCATAAATCATTACGGAATCTATTTGGTGCACAAAATTCTTTACTTTACTCACTCACTGTATATCGTGTTCATCTATTAGAGACAGGGCATCTTAATTAACATCAGCACCTAGTGTGTCAGAATTTACTCTGCTGTTAATTTTCTCTCTTATTTTTTGCTAATGTATTGTCTCAGGAACTAATTTATTCAAAGGTAACATAAGCTGTGAATGAAATACATATGAAAGTACCTAACTGCAGACATCCATAATTGCCGTTCCCAAAAAGATTTGGATCCGACAGTTACTATCTGTGCCTACACAACATGGTTTGATGCCTTCAAGATTTGTTTTCTTACGAGTTTACAAAATGAAAAGTGACAGAAAAAGGAAATACTGTTAGTATAATGATCGAATAAATTATTTACAATACTATTCGAGAGACTTAAAAAGATTGCATCTGTGTTTGGTTTTATGTGCAGTGTGGTTTTGGTTTTACATAAACTTCAAAAGTTTATGTTTAATTATGCAGTTAACTCACATTCATAATTAAAGCTGCATGGCTGCAAGTTCTGACCATTCAATAAAAAGGTTATAATTAAGTGGTAACTCGTGTGCCTTTAGTTTCCATCAGCACATTTTCAACTACACTCTGACTTTAGAGTCTAAGAAACAGCTTCCCGACCCCCTGTGATTATGTTGGGTTTAATCAGGTTCAGATAGTCATCCCAGGTAACCTGGCGATTGCTGACCTATTATAGTACCTTCAGTCCTTCACTTAAACCCCTTTCCTCTGACCTCAGGCCAGGTGAGTGCCCAGACGCCCTGATGCATTTATCACTGGATACCATGAGCATGGTGGACGACAGCTGCCTCTCGCCCAGCAACTTCCACGAGTTGGGCAAAGGTGGGGGCTTCGCTGCAGGGGGCCGCGTCCACAGCATCGATGTCATTCTTGGTTTCAGCAAGGACCAGGACCCCCTGCTCAGTCCTGCAGGGGCCCCCGGACCCCATAAAGTGGACATAGAGAGCCTGGTGGAGTCCAGTGGGAAGCAGCAGGAACCCTCATCACACCCGTCCTACAGCGGGCACCTGGTCTCTCTGAGGAATGGCAGCACAGAGCAGCAACAGTACCACGGTGAGTCAGGCTGAGGATGAGGATGGTGCTGGCTTCCATCCTGACAAAGCAGAGTTTTCTATAGAAAACTTATATGTTTCAATCCAAAACATTGGCAATGGTCCAGAGTATTGATTATACAGGACCCCCCTCTGGTCTTGGAAAGCCGGGTGAGATGTAACTGATTTTACTGCACTAAGGTGAAGTTAATGAAACCTCTGAGCAAACATTAATCCTGAAAAACACTTTGATCACTGACTAAAAAGCAGATTCAGTTTTTAATTGTGCAAACACGAACCAGAATGAGTCGGCCATCTTAAGTAAGATAAACTTATGTATCTAGGCCTGATGCTTTTTCACAAAAAGATGGGGAAAGGTATCAGACTGTACAGGTTCAGTACACATTAAAAAAAGACTTAAAAACAGATTTAACAGTGTCCATAAATCACCCATTCCGATCTTTCATAGCTTGAGCCATTGTTTGTTAGACAGTTGCAACTAATACATTAAAAAAATTGGACCCATCTAAATGCAGCACTTCCAGGACAGTTGTATCGTTGGTGCAGCATTTCTGTGCCATTTGCATCCATTTCCAACGTCTCACTGGCAGATTCAGGATCAATGCCTTACTTACTGTTGCCATGCAGAGCCTGTTGCATTAGCTGTGTGAAGTGCGGCCGGCTGAGATTGAGAGATAAATCACAGAACAAGATGGTGTAGGGGGGTTTATGTCCCTGAACACAATCCCATCCCCTTGTGGAATTCCCCTAATCTTCTCTTGCGTGCAGATTAGATTGTACAGTAGTTCATTCGGGTGCTGTTGTTATCGTTCCATCTCAGGATCAAATTTATCACGTTTAATCTGAGGCTATTTTCACATGCAGAACCTGGCAGTTGGTTGGTGATTTTGTGACAGGAACAAGAAAAATCTGATAATGTCCGTCGACCGGAGATGAATATGAGTGATTAAAATGTAGTGGCTGGATCCAGGCAGATGTTAGTTTACTTGATTATTAAGGTACATCAACACCAATGACATCATCCTTTTGTGTGTAGCTATCCTGTGAAGTCAGCCCAGTCCCCCCCCCCCTATACTGAGATGTTCTGCTGGCTGATAAACAGTGGGCAGCCTTCAGACTGGCGACTGTGATGGGCTGACAGGCCAAGAGCTGGTCACTGAACCAGACCTGACCTCTGCCTTTGTCAGAGCCTGGCCTTTGTCATAGCTGCTTAATGAGAGGTGGATAAATGAACCCCCGAAAATCCCTGCTCTGCCTTCGCCTCTGCTCCCATTTGCCAGTTGAAAGGCCACAGTGACCCCCTCCTTTCGCTCCTTCAGCACATCCTATTAACAGAAACAAGCTCACATTTACATACATACACTGGCAGTTGTTTCACTGCAGCAGTGAAAGGACAGTGAAGGTCCGAAGGTCTCGTCAACATGCAGGGAACAATGAAGTGGACAAAACCTCATCTACAAACAACTATAATGAGTAGTTTAACATTTAACCCTATTGGGGTCCATCACTGACTGTAGAAGCAGTAACTTGATACAAAAATGTAAAAAATACAACTTCAGTGTTTTGATTTGTTTTCACTGAAGTCATAGCATCAATTTTGAGCTGCTTTCAGCAAAAGTGCAAAAACCCACTGTACAGTACCTGCTAAGCATCAAGCTACAAACAGACTTAGCAACTAGTGGGTTTGTTTTAGTGATGCATTTCCCCCCAGGAATTGGAGGAGACCAAACCCAGAGCCAAAAGAGAGTGAATATTGATTCAACAGGTGGACAGATACATGACTCCAAATGAAAGCTAATTTTGCTCAGTAACCATTTCATTACATGTTTAACCCCAAAGGTGATGATGTGTTGACGTAAAGTGTCACACATCTTGTTTCTGCTGCCCCCTATCTGTAAATATCAGTGATTGTACATTTAAAGTCCCCTCAATGGCTTTACCCCACAACTGAGAAAAATGAACAAGACAGTGAGATTCAATTGAAAGCTCCTTAAAAAAAAGATGGCTCATTAATAATTTTTTGTCCAACTAAGTGCTGATAGGGTCATGCTGTTTATCATGACAACAGGTACTGTAGATTTATTATTTCATCCAAAAAGAAATTTCACTTCATATATAAAATAGCATTGAACATTCTAATACACCAGACAGGAAGTATTTAGTAGTCTTAGTTCTGTAATTTACAACAACACAACCTGAACAATGTCATCACAGACATTAACTCCTGAAGAGCAACTGCTCTGAAGCCTGAGGTTTTTGCCTGAAATGATTATGAGGAGTTGAGTTGTAGTAAAAGCCTCGTAGCATCAGTGGACAGTTGCTTGTCACATGTTGACATGGTTCAGATGCACTTGAGCTAAAACTAAACCTCTAACTAAAAGTAGTTTTACTGTAGTGAGAACAGTGTGATTTGAAGGTGAGTTCACAAAACAAGTGGGAACTCTTTTTAAATGTTTTTGAATGTCTTTTTAAAGACACTTTACTTTTGATGAAGATAAACACTGGAAACACTTTTTCTTCTTTTCTTTTTCTTTAATCCGATTAGGAATGTTTTTGAGCTTCATTGAAGTTCAGGGGATTGCTTGCTTCACTGACCTACAGTAGCCTATTGTTGCAGGTGTCAAACTAATGTCTGCTCTACTGGAAAGTGAGCACTGCGTTCTTAATATTAACTACCCATTCACTTTTTACTTTCCTATTTTGCACCTACACACATCAAAAACTATATATGAATGAAGTACCCACTCCTGATTTATGTTTCTTCTGTGCTGAACAGACACTGGCTTATTCACAAATAAGTGCGATGATGAGCTGAGTGAGCCGAGGAAGAGCGTTGACAGTGATGATGGCAAGTCTCCGGAGCCCTGCAAGGACGATCAGCCCAAGAAGAAACACAGGCGCAACCGCACCACATTCACCACCTACCAGCTGCATGAGTTGGAGCGTGCCTTCGAGAAGTCCCACTACCCAGACGTGTACAGCCGAGAGGAGCTGGCCATGAAGGTGAACCTGCCTGAGGTCCGAGTTCAGGTAAGAGGATCCGCGACATCAGAGCCTAACCAACAAGTTCTAAGTTTTAATGGTCAACATCACAGAGATCATTTGGCTGGAGAATTATTTACCTTGTTTCATTGATAAAACCAAGACATTTTTTAGTTTACATTTATGATATTGAGGGTCTATTGTTAATGTTGCTTTCATTGATGTACAAATGTCTCTTATATTGGGCTGCTATTGCATTATTCCATTATTATTATTTGACAGCAGTCAAATGACTACAAAGTTATTACTTAAATTACTAATTGCTTTATATAATAATTAACAGTTTGTATTTTTTATCTTATACGCACAGCACAAGCTGACAGTTAATCATAAGAGTTAAAGTGGTGTTTTATTTATTTGAGGTGCTATTACGTAAAGTGGAAAGTTGTTGGGCTTTTGTTGGTCAGTGTTCAGGTGAGGTGATAGCACTAGATAGTTACGCAACTTCAATGACAGTTTCCAAGTGTTAGGAACATACATAATCCTGATGTCATGGAGGTGTAACGCCAAGTAGGTGCAGTGTTCAACATGGCAGGGCCTTCTTTAGATTACCTGAAGCTTAAGACTGGATGGCATCTTAAAGACTGGCACACAGCAACTTCAACTGATGATGGAAGGTTGAAACTAAATACAAAGCAAAACAAAAGGAATTTGAAGTTAACCTACTGGAAATTCCTTGAACTTTCAGCCAAATCATCATGTGGGCTTCATTGGAGGTTGTGGTTTGGTCTGTTGTTATGAAGATGTGTCACTTATCACAAAATACAAAACAGAAAGGAGGTGTGAACAAAATGCATCATGCACATTTTTTGCCAGAGGGTTAGGGTTAGCCAACTGGCTTCCAACAACAAACTTATTTATGGACAACATTTTGATTGACACATACTGACTGTCCTTAGATAAGATCCAGAATGCACTTCTCCTTTCTATCATGGTAATAATAATAGATTTTGTCCCGGTCCAGGTCTGGTTCCAGAACCGCAGAGCTAAATGGCGTCGGCAGGAAAAAATGGACGCCAGCACTATGAAGCTCCACGACTCTCCCATGCTGTCCTTCAACCGCCCAGCACCAGTTCACAGCATGGGTCCGATGGCCAACTCCCTCCCCTTGGACCCCTGGCTGACCTCTCCCCTGTCCAGTGCCACGCCTGTCCACAGCATCCCTGGCTTCATGGGTCCACCTCAAGGCCTCCAGCCCAGCTACCCCAGCCACAGCTTCCTCAACTCCTCTCCCCATCCTCCTCATCCTCATCCACACTCTCATCCTCACTCTCATCCTCACTCTCATCCTCACTCTCATCCTCATCCATCCATGGGTCAGGGGATGCAGAGTATGGCTCCACCTCCTTACCAGTGTCCGGCACCATACCCTGAGAAATACCCTCTGGAGGACGTGAACCAGCGCAGCTCGAGCATCGCTGCACTGAGAATGAAAGCAAAAGAACACATCCAGTCTATGGACAAAACCTGGCAACCCATGTGACTAACAAACCTGGCAGCCTATGTGAGAGACCCTGGGAAAGGGAGATGATGAAATAATTTTTTTTCTTGGGTGTCAGGGTGACAAACATTGAGTACAGTGTTGGAAAAGTGTCACCCACAGAGCAAAGGAGAAGGATTTTGAACTGTGAAGACTTTAGGATTTAGTTTGGACTTTCTTATATTGTTTTTCAGTTACTTTCATCTCAAGGACATGAAAAAGATGAGTTATTGATGCTTTGGGTGCTGTAAATCATCAGCAAACCTCTGCTTCATGGCGATTGCCCCCTGCACAATTTTATTTCCATATCAACCATGTTTTATAAGAAACTACAGACTTCCCTTCAATGGTCTACACATACTCAGTTTGTATGTTGATGTTGGCTGGGGTGAAAATCATACTTTGAACTTATATGTAACACATGGCAAAATAATTGTCTCCATGCCTGGTTGTGGTTGTTTGTCCCTTGCAACAGCTCACATTAGAAGAAACGTGCTAAAATATGAAAATCCCCTAAATGAAGCTCTGCTGTAGTTATTTTATTTATAGATAATTTTCAACCATCAGATTGATTGAGTGGGACAAATCAACACATTCTGTCATTCCTTCTTTACTTTTCTCGTTTTCATCAGTGAGTTTGTGTTTTTACTAATTAATCCAATTGTCGAATTTTCATGGGTCAGCTCATCAGAGTCTCTGTGAATTTTGTGAATGAAGTTTCAGTGCAGCTTTTTCAGGAAAATCAACACACTTAGACACATGACTGTGACTGTAAGTGCACACCTCTCTCACTAATGTGTTGATTTATAGCAGCTATTTAACTGGTTTTTAGTTCATCCCCCAATTACAGAATGGTTTAGATATTTGAACCTGAAGCTTATAGATACCCTGGTATGACTGGAGGAAGATGACAGCTGATAGTTCTCAATGTACATAGACGCTATTTACGGCGCCATAAAGTGTAAAATACATATTTTTGTGGCAGGAAACAAGAGTCAGAGATATGATGGCACCTTCTACAGTGGACCAGAGCTGTAGAGAATATACCAAATAAAGGAAACACTCCTGCACGATGATAATCTTTTTCTGATTTCTGCTGAGATGCTTTAATGAAGGAGAGAGAAATGAAGGAAAAGAGGGAGGCTGGTGAGAGGAGCAACCCTCTTTTTTTGCTTGAGTGGCTGTTGGAGGAGAAAACCTGTTGGCAGTTCAGTGTTGGGTGGCTGCGTGTACGTGCGGGGCAGCAGAAAGAGCCCTGTGTGATGCGTCACCCCACATAGTTTAGTCTTTGTTCAGCACAATTGATCCAAGTGCATCCTCTTTGTCTGAAAATGAGGAGGGGGGTTGGAAACGGTCTCAGGCTGCACTAAATAGGCCCTTGTAACCATTTTGTCATGGAAAATGGTTCTCTCTCAATCACAGGAGGAGAAACATGGATCGTAGCTGCTACGGTCATTAGTGACACTATATTAGTCTTGTACCATCTGTTACAGACATAACCTCTAATTATGTTCAAGGTAAAGACACAGTTTATTTCTTATAAGTTAAATTTATCAGGATGTTTATGATTCACAGCATCTCACAGAACTGAACATGCCAAGAAAAGTTGTTCGGTAACTTTTTCGACTTGGATTTGGAGCAAGAGGGGGAGAGAATCCTTCATCTTAAAGTGCAATTTCAGAATCCTTTGTATTTTTATATGTATATTTTTTAAAAGAGACTCATTTCCCCCCTAAATACCCATTGTATGGTTGTGATATTTCACTTTAATATGATGTGAAAATTGTTCTGACAGCAAGTCGTGAATACAGAGACAACAAAAGCAACATTTGGTCATTTCTGGTTGATTGAAAAATCCTGCTCTGAGAGGGGAAACAGTGTTACATCTGCTGCTCATGATCAGTCATCATGTAGTTTGTTTGCTGTTTATTGTTGTTTGTTAGTGATGTTTAGACCCCCTGCTGGAAGATGCCAGGACCCCGGAGGAAATACGGATTACCTTGCACACTAAGAGCTTCTTTAGGACGCTAAATATGTGATTTTGGACAAAGAATAAGCCAAAGGTTAGATAATGGACAAAACTGCACTAGATCCCAGTTTTGATTTGTTTTTTTATGTGAAAATGCACAGACTATTGTTACCTATGTTTTTTTCTTACATGTCGTAGTTATATCTGTCTTAGTGAAATCATTTTTTTCTTTCTTTTTTGATTTTGTCTGGATCATTGATGTCCATATTCTGGAAAGAATAACAATCTGAAAATAAATATAGTTTGATAGAAGACGTATCTCTGTTTTCTCACTGCAGTGCTTTCATGTTGACCTGTGCACTCATTCCCACGTGGTCACTGTTTTTTTTTCACCTCACTAAGTCTAAAGAGCAATCCAAGATTACTACAATATAATCGTTATCATCTGACATACAAGGGCAGAGACATTTTTCTTTCTTTTCCTCAGATACTTGTATTCCCTCTCTCTGTCATATAAGAGCTCTTTCTTTTTTCTACCCCTCCCAATCCTCTCTGCTTTTCCATGGTTTGGTGGCAGGGTGCCAGCCTGTTAGGAAGATGAGACTCCAATCAATCAGCGCTTCCCAGGGGGGCCTCTGACCACAGGGCCCGGCTCCCTAATTGCCCCCAGGCAGGCGGGCAGGCCGACAGGCTGAGCCGCTGCAACACATGTTCACAGAGTGACCGGTGCCGCCGTGCTGGCTGCTCTCCTCAGCGTGTGAATCACTTTCCTGGACAGATGGACGTACCTCACTTCTGGGACCATATGGAGAAGCTATAGTGGAAGTAACAGAGACATATTTTTTCAGTGTTGTGTTGTTGTTTAGCTCCGGTTTTACCATTTGAGATGCAGAACTAAGCATCCAATTATATCCTAAAACTAAGTAAAAAAGAGAAGTTTTATGAACCACAATGATCTGGAGTCATTTCTAGATGCCAAACACACCTCCTCTAAACATCTGGATGAGAAAATATTAAATGTCTCCAGAATAGTTGTTTCTTAATTTGGACATCATCTTCCAATTCCAAACAAAGCTGGACTTGACATATATAATTAATGTTATTATCAATTAGATTTGCATCTATTGATTTTTTTCAATATTTTATATTTTCATACACAATTACATATGTTGTAAGGACATTTCCAACAACCTGTATAAGTATTTATCTTATGTGGACAGAATATTTTTCCATTAAGATGGTTATAGGAGCCTTTTAGGATTTTTCAGAGTATGTGACACTTGGATCTGTGAGTTAAATGTATTGGTGATATATTGAGGGTAGGTGTTGGCATTAAAACAAAAATAAAATCAGATATGATGAAGTGACATAACTTGATTTATGAAGGGGGAGTAAATTAAGCCATATTTGAACTCACATCTCAGGGAAATAATTGAAACACTACTTTACTTTTTACTGCACATGTAAGACTACAGGGACTTGTAGCACTTCAATACTTTTACATGTTGATTCAAGTTGATGAGGTCATATCTTCCAATGTCTTCAAAGAGCCAAACAACTACAACACTGTATGGATGAAAAATGCTCTGAAGTTGTAAAGATGAAAGTAAAGACAGAGAATGTGAGGAAGTCAGTGAGAGAAAGTAAAAAGAGAAACATTAAGAGAGAATTAAGCTGAAGTAAAGTGTGGGAGTGAGGGAGACAGAGTGGGAGAGAGAGGAGAAGTAAGAGTGGAGAGGAAGAGAGAGAGAGAGAGGGAGGGGAGGGAGGGTGGGGTGGCTGCTCATCAGGGTTAATGATGTAGAAAATCCCCCAATTAGAGCGTTTTCCTGTGTTGCAGGATGAGTTCAGAGCGGGGTCCTCTGACAGCCCCGGGGATTAGTACCCAGGCCAGGCCGGGCCGAGCTGGGCCTGAACAGACACTAACTAACTGCTGGACAGCTTGGCACTGCTCAGTCGGGGCCAAGTCGGGGCTATGGCCACAGCCAGGGGCCAGGGTAAGCATGCGTTGAGCCAGAGTGCATGGCACAATGAAAAGCATGGGAAAAAGAGCAGCGTCAACGTGAAAGAAAAGTTCTGATCGAGACACATTCAAAAAATGGATTCAAACATGAACCAAATACAATTTTAGAGGCCGTTTTTTAAAAGGTTCTCTCTCAACAAGTCCTCGAACTGATTCCTTCAACGCTCCATGTTGCATTACAATTACCTGACCTGATACTTCAGACTAAAAATCTCAACCTTACTCTGTCTCTTAACATCACTGTGAGGTGATTGTTGTTGAGGCAGAACCAACTTTGAGTCTTTCAGATACAAGAAGTAAAAGGCTACATTTAATCAGAAATATATGCAAAGTAAAGCTTGAGACTTGCATATTGAAATGTGTTCTTGACCTTGCAACATATACTGGAGTAAATGTGATAAATATTCTGAACACAACATCTGGCTATTCAGCTATTCCTGGAGATTTTGACTGAATCTATGCCCTCCTTCAGCAAACTACCTTGACTGCACTTTACTTGGCCTCATATGAGACACTTTATTTAACTGGTTTTGAATAATAAAACAATACATCAGTGAAGATTGCTTCACAGTTTGAATATTTAATGATAACTTGTAGGAACCATTTGCTAAGTAAAGAAATTACTGGTGCCTGTAGGAATTACAGGAGAATTATGAGAGCAGAAAATAAACTGATAATAATGATATACTATCATGAAGTGATCTACTCTAGTATTTGTACATTGTCATGTTTTTCCATAAAGTCTTTCTGTAAAGGTCACAGAGGTGAGGATGCACGTATTTAAAGTTGAACGTTGCTAAGGAAGATTTGGAGGAAGCCCAGAACCACTGCACCACTCTGCTCCACGATTACTGTGTTCATTAAGAACAACTGAGGCCCTCCTGACTAATTGATTAATTGTGCAGTCTATTATTTCGCTCCTGCACCCCAGTAGATCTGAAAGGGCCAAGGCTGGAGTTAACAGTCTTATTGGAAAGACGCGTTCCTTGCAAAGGATAATAAGGGAAAACAGCGGAATTAATTGGGTTTGATTAAGAGAGCTTTTCAATGGGACACAGCTTTTTCGCATGACATAATTAGAGGTCAGTTAAAGGGGGGGCATGAGGGGGGATTTGGTCGTTGGCGCCAGTCTTGTGTGGGTGTGTCTGTGTGAAGGAGACAGATAGACAGACAGACAAAGTGTGTGTGTGTGTGTGTGTGTGTGCGTGCGCGTGTGTGTATGTGTGTGTCTGGTGGAGGGGGTGCTTCCTTCACACTTGCAGGACTATGTAGTGTGTCTGATGTGCTACATTTCTATAGGCTCGCTCAGACACACAGTGAAGTTCACGGGGGGGGCCCTGTCCACTCCATGTGTGATTATTATCACTACACTTGACGACATTAAAGGCACAGAGCTCAGTCTTTTGTTACAGCTACGTGGTCATTAGCAGCAAAACCCAGAGACCACTCTATTGTACAGACGAGGCTGGTGAGAGGAGAGTACATTCAGCAATGGGGGGGGGCACAACACAAAATGTGTAAACAAATTCAAAACATTTATCACACACGCATGCACACATACACACACACACACACACACACACACAGTGAATCAATAATCCTGTTACAGAATAATCTAAAGAAGGAAGAGGGCCAAGCCATCAAATCTAAAAATACAGCTGAACTGTCATGAACCAAAACCAGGCTTCACACCTGATTAGATCATCACATATCTCATCACAAGTCTGCAGCTTTTTTAACACAGCACACTTACAATCTCACTGTTCTCTCTCAAGTTGTATGTTTTCATCATGACTTTCTGTTTGTAAAATATACATCACAGTGTGATCACATTGTACATTACCACTGTGTACAGGCTGCTCCTGAGATGTGTGGTATTTGTTCATTATTATTTGGCAAGTTACATTTAGAAGCCCTGTGTTGTGAGCCAACAGGAACCAGATCTGGGATGCAACGGGTCATGGGATGTAGGTAACGGTACACAAGTTATAAAATAAAGTACCACAGAAAGTTGACAGTGAGGCAGTTGCTTTAGTTTAATGGAAGCACAACAGCATGTATCACAGTATCACTGACTCTAGGATCAAATGTAGCTCTTCATGCTTAGATGAAGTCATTTAGGTCACTGAGGAAGTGGTTTGTCAGAGGCTGTCATAGCGTTACATTTTTATCGTTTCATTTTAATTTGGCACTCATTTCTTTCCATTGAAACAACTTTAAATGTCTGTTGGATTTTATCATTTACCATTTGCTTGCCAAAATTAACTGTTTATTCATCAGCTTAGATCTGCCCAATTGAATGATTCCTACTCCGGCAGCCGGACTAAAAGTGTCCTGGATCTTCAAAGAAGATGCATATTGTAAAAGTTCCAGCTGTTCAACACTCAATGCACAAAGGTGATCCACTGTGATTTTGTTCAACACATGGAGTGCTCTGTGCTGTGTATGCAGTGTTTTATATTGTGTCTCTTTAAATCAATACAAAGAAAAAAAACAGATGGGAGCCTGGAATACATTGCTCATATTGCCATCTTGTTTCAGTGGATTTTTTAAACAAATATGGAGCCTGATACTGATCAGTGATATTATTCTATGATACCATGCACATCAGGCATCCACCATATTGAGGAGCCTTTGAGCAAGACATTACTTTACATGCTGCAGAGAATTTCTCCATTTGGGCATCACATCATATTCTGTAACTTTTGTTACTGCAAACATTTTTAATATGTGTTTTAAAAGTCCTGAAGCATAAGGCTGTAAGACAAGGGCTGGTAAAAACCAAAACAAGTTCTAAAGCTTGTTCAGTCTACACACCAACGTGCCTGGAGACTTGGATGGAAGGATGGAACTACTACGCCCCCTATGTTTGAAACTCTGCCATGACAGAAACACATGAATGTTTTCCACTTTATTCCAGTTTCAATGAACAGATGAAAGCAGTGAGGAATCATGAAACACGCCATGAAAACACAGCCTTCATTGAATAGTTTGCAATCTACTAGGAATCCTTGATGTATATGCAGAAGAAAACAGTCCAACAAAACTGCGGAACTTTGATGCCTTGTGATTATTGGAATCCTATTAAAAACTTAAATTTTATTTTTAATCTCATGTCATCATCGATCTTCTGGTTCGTATTGGAGTTAGTTGGTTGTCTGCATCGTGTGTTTCTGTATATGACACGAATGAATTGCCATATGCTGTAAACTGTAAACTTCGAGAAATAAAAAAGTTGTGCTTCCGTGTTTTGATGACGTG